TTTTTTTTTTTTTTTTTTTTTTCCTTCTTTAAAGAAAAAATTTGAAGGATATTTTCATTCAATGAAAAGAATTAAAAGGATACACAGATTGTTGTTGATTCACATATTGCAGTCATAAACTTTAAAATTATATCTGTAGTTATTATTTATATGTTTGATTTCTTTTTATTCATCTTACTAATTTATTATATCGGATGCACATTGTGCAATCTTGTAATCTTTTGAAATCTTTTAGCTTGATTTTATTTTTATTTTATTTTTTTTAATCATCCGTTTTTTCTTCGCGTATCTTTGAAGTTTAACATCAAATGATATTACCCTTTTCGTTATTTTTTATTTTATTGTTTTTTTTTTCGGAGGAAATCATCTGGTGAAGCCGTTTAGTTAGTTCGAATGTGATCTTCATTTTTCTTGGCTAGGACAAAAATTGTTTACTATTGAGTCATCCAATATCCATGAGAAAAATTACTTTGTACGTACTCAATTTTTTCTAAATAAATAGATAATAATGTACACAGCCCGTTGATTAAATTACTATCAAATTTTTTATTTCAATGATAATGATCTACGAATCTTTTAAAGTTTAGCCAATCATATTTTTACTTTGAATTTTTTTTATTTTTTTTTCTAAAAGGCTATTTTTTTCTATCCAAAGTATAAACCTGATTTTTTTATGTAAACAGGTTTATTAAAATCAATTCGACTAAAATGATTTTTATTTAATCGGAACTTCGGAACTCTTATCTTTTCAAAAATAAAACCTGAAGGTTTCGCAAAGAAAAACTTCTTTTTTTAATCGTTACATAATCCGTTATAAAAAAATTTCAATAAGAAAATATATGTATATATATTATAAATACATATATATTATTTGATAAACATAATCTATATCCTTTGTGTATGTTTCAATCAAAAGTACTATGACACAATAATTCCCATTATTCATTCATCTATTAATTTTTTTTTGATTCCCGCGAAAAAAGTTTGAGCCACGTGCTTTTGCTTTCATTAATCGTTCATTAATCGTTATTATGTTGTTCTTTTTCTCATCGTAGTAATCGTTGATGCATGCGTTATCTTTTTGAATTTGTTGATATTTTGTCTATCATTTTTTTTTTCTTTAACATTGTATCCGTTCTTCAAAATTATGACAATTTGTTTATCTTTGGCTTACGGATTTTTTTCATTGTTGTTGCGGCCGTTTTCATTTTTAAACGACGACTCTTTTTAATGGCGTAATGTAAAGAAATAGATAGAAAACTTTGTTTACACAACAAACGTAAAAGGATCAACTGCATCTCTTTTATACAAAAAAAAAAAAAAAAAAAAAAAAAAAATTTCAATTGAATTTGATTCGACAAGAAAGACAACTTCCAATCTATGCATGTGGACGATTTTGGAATTTTTTTCCTTACTTTTCGCGTGTTGACAATATAAACAAAGAAAATCAAAAATGTGGCATAATTATATATCAGGTATTAAAAACTTCCCCTAAAAATATATAATTTCAATACAAACAAATGAAGTTTCTAAATTACTGTAAACTAAAAAAGTCCAAAGAAATGTTTCAAAAACGGTTTAACAGATTCAAAACGTGTCTTTAGACACTTGCTTCGAAGTTTACTGCGGCACAAAAATTGATTGCGGTTGATCAAATTTGTCTAATTTGTGGCTTTTTAATATAAATTAAACAATGCACAAAAATCTATGGAACCATTTTTAGTTTAAGTATAAATTTAAAAATAGAATTCCCGATATAAATTATCTATATTTATAAAATAAAGTATTATTTAATTAACCAATCAAATATTATTATAACATGTGGAAAGATGAATAAACGTAAAGTACGAAAAAATCCATCTTTGGAATCTCTTAAATTAGTTCGAATGTGATCTTCATTTTTCTTGGCTAGGACAAAAATTGTTTACTATTGAGTCATCCAATATCCATGAGAAAAATTACTTTGTACGTACTCAATTTTTTCTAAATAAATAGATAATAATGTACACAGCCCGTTGATTAAATTACTATCAAATTTTTTATTTCAATGATAATG